CCCCAAAACCCCAAAACCCCAAAACCCCAAAACCCCATTTTTAAGCTTTGAAATTGAAATTTTGATCAATCCCGACCTACATTTACAATAATGCCTTTGAGATTAGATATCTTCCTCTGGGAAACACTCGTCACAGATAATGACTATACTTCTGCGCCTGATACCTGGAGTGTCCATGATTATCACTGGGGATTTCACTATAGAATTACTCACTGAAAGTTCTAAAAAGTACCTGAAATGAACGCATCTTGATCTTTTTGACTCTCTACGAACTCCTGGATGATTTCCTGACAGCTCTGGTGGAGGACAACATTGATAATAGCTCCCTTCTTAATGTTACGATGTGGAGGCATATTGAACTCACAGACTTTCCCTTGCACGTATTTTGTTCCCTTATTGCCTGATTCATTATCAATATTTTACTTACGGAAACATTTGGAGGCCTTAATTTTAAGCCAGGATTCAGGCTTAAACACTTTCTTCCTAAGGTTTAGAAGGTTATTTACCTAGCATTTTCCATGATGGACTCCAGCTTAGACTCTTCTTTCACCTTAGGCTTTATCTCACTGGTTTTAGTAAAGATGCTCGTCCTCTTCTTTCGAGGGTTACCAGAACGAGAAGGAGAAGAGTAGGAGATAGCATCACTGCTTCGCTGCAATTTTGATTCGGTCAGTTTGAACTGATTTGAATTATCTTTATTTTGCAGCATCTTTATTTTCTCCTTCCGAATTTTGTCAAGGTCGACATCACGGTCTTTACTACGGTCTTTATTATTAGCTCTCTTGCCTCTTCTACTAGCATTGGATCTATTCCTTGGTTTGTTCTATAGCTCATAAGGAAAGTGTACTTCAAATTCTGTATCGAAGAAGTTATTGACATTCATTTTGCGTAGGTTCCTTCTTAGGTTGTCTATATCACCCTTGGACTTCCTTTTCTCCATTTCCCCACAATTATCGCTTAAAATTACTAAAAATTTCAAGATTTTTCCTTGAAATGGGGTTTTGGGGTTTTGGGGTTTTGGGGTTTTGGGG